ATCTTTGGTGGCAGTTAATTTGCATATCTTGCTGATTAGCCAATGGGAAGCGTAGCGGAGGTACAGTTAATTATCCTTTTTGTCTTTTATTAGATAGGATATATGTGTTTTCCGATGGTCTTAGGTGACCCCTGTGAAAAGGTCGTTCAACCTCCAAAGGGGTCGCGACCCACAGGTTGAGAACCTCTGACTTAATTGAAGCTGAGTTAACTTGTAATGCTAGCTACATAGGTCATTTTCTCCTTTCTGAGTGGCCACATTAAAAATGAATAGGTAAATGTTAGAAAGGAAGAGGAAACATGAAAATGATTGAAAAGATGTAGTATTTTGTTTAATCCAGGATATACAGAAAGTTGTTGTTTGATCATGGAATCAACGAAATGTCATGAGTTGCTTCCATCCCTCTGTAGAGCTCTGATTCTTTGGGATGTGCGTGTGTTTTCCCCTGGGAGCACATCTCCTGTGGACGAGCACATTTCCAGGACTCAGAGCCTGAATGGCTGGTGGCTGCTGTACTGGGCAGTGCATGGCCCGAGCCATAGTCCTCATGGTTAGACCAAAAAGGCGTTAGATGTGCATAGGTCAGGGGTCCTCAAACTACGGCCCGTGGGCCACACGCAAATACAAATATTGTATTTGTTCTCGTCTTTTTTTTCTTCAAAATAAGGTATGTGCAGTGTGCATAGGAATTTGTTCATAGTTTTTTTTTAAACTATAGTCCGGCCCTCCAACGGTCTGAGGGACAGTGAACTGGCCCCCTGTTTAAAAAGTTTGAGGACCCCTGGCTTAGGCAGTCAGCACAGGCAGCTGTTCATTGCCCTCTGACCTCTGCGGTCCTCTGCTTGGGTTTCCTGAAGTTTAAAACATTTCATTTTTTGTATTTCAGAGATTATTCAATTATTCCCCTTTGAAAGTTCTTTGTGGTTTTGTCCCCCCCCCCTGCCCCCCGTTTTTACTATTACAAACATGCTACAATTCATATTCTTCTACATTCTTCTTTCTGTCCTTGGGCATATAATTCTCTGGGAAAGCTTTCAAGAAATGGAGTTCCTGGTTATAGGGTATATGCATTTAGTATGGTGACATTGCCAAACTGCCCTCCCAAAATGGCTGAATCAATTTAAAATTCTACCAACAGTGTTTTACTGTTTGAATTTGTGTTTTTCTGTTGGTGCAGTTGAACATGTTTTTATGTGTCTACTCACTCTTTTTTCTTTCTCCTTTTGTGAATTGTTCATATACCTCACTAGTTTTCCATTGGGCTGTTTATTGTTTGATCATTGAACTATGGGAGCTCTCTCTCTCTGTCTGCCTTGAGAAAGAAAACTGTAGCCCCTACCAGGTGATAGGAGCGACCTGCATCTAGTGCCCAGACGTGTGTGTTTCCTACTTCAGATAGACAATCTCAGGGAACACCACCCCAGCACAGGTTATTCTGTGCCTGTGCTAGACGAAATATGAGCACTCTATATCTGAGCACAGATGAAGGTCAGAAAACCAGGAAGAGGACCAAATATTCCCTCGTTCCCAGCTAATGTGGAAACCTGCTGCTGTATTCCCAGTGACAGCTTTTAGCTCCCTTCCTAATTCACTTCTATCACTGATTTGTGCTTGGAAACATTTTCTTCCTACGTCACAGAACTTCCCTGAAAATCATCTGGAGCACCATAGCATTCTTGCTGCCCCAGGACTTCTATAAGCTAATTATATCCGACTTCATTAAGGGTCTTCAGGAAGGTCACCTCACTGCACTGATTTCTCTAGATCTAAGGCAGTATAATTGGCTTGAATTGTGGTAACTTGCTTTCTTCTTGTAAATATTTCATCAGTAAAAACAACATCTTAAAAAGATCGTCATCATTAAACATCCCATTAGTTATTGAATTGAGTTGTGACACTGTTAGCAACAAGAAACTGTTAGATGTGAAATACAAGGTAGAGTGTGGCAGTTTTAGTAGTTTTCAGTGGCATAAATTAAAGATTACCTTGTTGCCACTATACTCAACTGCATTTTCCTCATTTCCACTGTTTCCCTGTAAGAGGTTGTTTAAATAATATCTTTATCATGTTTCATTTCTAAGAAATACTAATTACCCTGCTTATTTCATACCTTTAAAAATATGAACTACACTACCAGGAAGATTATAAAAATATTTTCAAGCAAAAGCACATTTGCTTTTGGTCCAAAAAAATTCTCATCTGTTACCTTATTAAATGTAATTTGCAATAAAAAAATCATCATTTACATTTTCAAGGGCTGTCATTCAGCCATATGGCCTTCAAATGAATACATTTTCTGCATATTGGATTGCATTACTGAACTGTGTCACATGTTTTAATGCTATAAAGGAACCTGAGCCCAATGAAATATTTCCTATGTTCATTTCCAGTGACATCCTTGGAAACAATTTATGTAAATAATTGGCAGATATTTTATAATGTTTTCCCTTTATTTAAATGTAACAGCAAAGATTTATATAAATAGAATTGTCCATTGTATCAGTTTAAAATGCTATATTTATTTGCCTGGCTGGTGTGGTTCAGTGCTTGAGCATTGACCCAGGAACCAGGAGATCACAGTTCTGTTCTCAGGGCATATGCCTAGGTTTTGGGCTCGATCCTCAGTAAGGGATATACAGGAGGCAGCTGATCAATGATTTTGATCATTGATGTTTCTATTCCTCTCTCCGTCTCACTGAAATCAATAAAAACATTTTTAAAAAATAAAATATTTACTTCGGTATCTATAATTGATTATCTTCCAAAATGTCTGAATACCAATAAGCGCTTAATAAATATTTGTTCAATGAATGAATAAGTGGTTTTTTTTTCAGTAAAAACACACTATAGTATATCTATTGAATTACTTCACAGTATAAAAGACAAAGTCATATAATAAAATGAGAAAGGGGAAATGATATCACTCAACTCTATATGAGAGTCGTAGCAACCAAAGCAAACACACATTCGTAGTTTTGTTGTTGTAAAGGACATTGAATAACCGTCACATAATTGCAAATGGGTTTGCATTCCTCCCTGTTAGGAAATGATGTACATCTGGAATGGTTTTCCAATAGTGAGCAAAAGAGAAGACCTCTCCGAAAATCTGTTGTTAACTATTGAAAAGGCTGAGACAACTTTACAAAATCAAAGTAAGTATGAACCTTGAAAGCCTGGAAATCTTTATCATTCCCTCTCTCCCGTCATGTCCCTGCTCACATCCGCCTGTGCTAATCTGTGTGCATCGCGAGGACAGTAGAGCTTGGTGACTGCAGTCCAGGTGAAAGCAGGAAAGGCACGCGCTGCACACATGGACCAGCCTTGGGTGCACGCGGCTAAGTGCAAGAAGCCAGTTGCCAAAGACTACATTTATATGTTGTCTTTTTTATATGAATTATAAAATACTGACATTTATATGACAGACTGACAATAGGTAAACCTGTAAAGACAGAAAGTAGACCAGTGGTTGCCCAGGATGCAGAACTGGGGTGGGCATGGTGGTTAAAGGGCCTGGCATTCCTTTTTGGGGTGATGAACATGTTCTAAGATTGATTGTGGCGATGGGTGCACAACTCTCATACACGCAGTGAGTTGTGTACTTTAAATGGGTGAATTGTATGGTATGTGCATTATATCTGAATAAATCTGTTACCAAAAAAGAGGAAGGGAAGAAGGCAGGCGAGTGTCCAAGCAGCGCAAGGACAGCATGCACTTCTGATTTAATCTTGTGCCTCTTGCCACGCCTGCTTTCGCTCTCTAGTGACTATCATGCTTTTGTGGACACAGAGAACTGTTTTCGAGTTGAAATCTTATCACAAATTTATTCTCTTACTCATTGCTTTTGGTGGCACTAGAGGCCCCTCTCCAGTTCCCTGGAGCGTCCTCCTGGGAGCAGCTGACCTGTTAGTAGAAGGCAGGCCAGGGTCTAGGCTCAGAGTCCCGGCTCTGCAGCTTGGAGACCGTGGAAACCCGCCTCCTCACCCCCACCCTCAGGTGTGGTCAGGTAACACCCACGTTTTCTTTTTAAAGCGGGAGTGGTGTCGGACCAGGTAATATCCCGGTTTTCGTGTTCTGACCTTTGCCAATTGTCTGTCTTCAGTAGAGGATTTCTCTTGTGATAAACCATGCTGTAATGTCAGCCTTTGTCCTTTGCCTTACCCATCCCCAAGATAGTGATCTTCTCCTCTGGAGTAAAAATGAAAGCGTCTGTGGTGATAAGCATGGGGAAGGGCATAGGGTTCAGGAGGAGGCAGGGGGAGTCAGAGCCGTCAGCTCATTTCTCTGAACTGGCCCTGGAGGAGCACTGGCCCCTCCTACCCAGAACGCTCCCCGAGGGGCCTGCACCGTGACGCTGGCTCCAGGGGTTGTTTTTGTACTCGGAGCTGCAGCATGAGGCAGAAATGTTTAGTGAGATTTGTCTTTACAGTTTTTAAAAATGAAACACATTATTACAATTGATAGAAGCAGGTGAAAAAACTATCTATTTTTGCTACAACACAATTAATTTACAATTTTTGTATAGTCCATCCTAGCTGATTTTTATAGTTTCAATCATAATGTACCTGAACATATACTAGCCTAGTTTTTTAAATTTATTAATATATCATAGACTATTTTTTCAAAATTGAGGTACAATTGACATAGTAATTTTAGGTGTATAGTAGGTTAGCATAATGATTCAATATTTGTATACATTGTAAGATGACCATCACAATAAGTCTAGTTAATATCTGTCACTATACATAGTTACACATTTCTTTTCAGATTACTCTCTTAGCAACTTTCAAATCTCCACTGCAGTAATATTAGCTATAGTCGCCATGCTTATGTTACATTCCTGTGACTTACTTATTTTATAAATAGAACTTTGTACCTTTGACCCTCTTCACCCATTTTGCTCACCCACCTCCCAACCCCTGACCTCTGGCAACCACCAATCTGTTTTCTGTATCTAATCAGCATTGGTGGTGTGGTTTTTTTTTTTTAAGGTTCTACATATAAGGAAGATCATACACTATTTGTCTTTATCTGATTTATTTCACTTAGCATAATACCTTCAAGGTCCATCTATCTTGTTGCATGGCAAGATGTAATTCTTTTTTATGGCTGAATAATATTCCAGTGTGTGTGTGTGTGTGTGTGTGTGTGTGTGTGTGTGTGTGTGTGACATTTTCTTTATTGATTTATCCATCAGTGGACACAGATTATTCCCATATCTTGGCTGTTATAAATGATGCAATGAACATGGAGTCATATATCTCTTTGATTTAGTGTTTTCGTTTTCACTTTTTTATTGAATTTATGGGGGTGACATTGGTTAATAAAGTTATATAAGTTTCAGGTGTACAATTCTGTAGTACGTCATCTGTATATTGTATTGTGTTCACCACCCTAACCTAAGTCTCCTTCCATCACCATTTATCCCCCCATCCTCTCTTCTACCTCCCTCCCTCCACCCCTTCCCTCTGGTAAGCACCATACTATTACCTGTGTCCATGAGGTTTTGTTTTGTTTTGTTTTGTTTAATCCCTTCACCTTTTCATCCAGCCTCCCAGCTCCCTCCACTCCGACAGCTGTCAGTCTGTTCTCTATCTATGAGTCTGTTTCTATTTTGTTTATTAGTTTACTTGTTCATTAGATTCCACATGAATGAAGTCATATGTACTTGTCTTTCTCTGACTGGCTTATTTCACTTAGCGCAATGTTCTCCAGCCCATCCCTGCTGTTGCAAAGGGTAAGATTTCCATCTTTTTACATCCAAGTAGTAATCCATTGTGTAAATGTGCCACAGCTTTTTTATCCTCTCAGGTACTGATAGGCACTTGGGCTGTTTCCAAATCTTGGCTATTGTAAATAACATTACAATGAACACAGGGGTGCATATATTCTTTTGAATTAGTGTTTCAGGTTTCTTCGGATATATTCCCAGAAGTGGAATCACTGGATCATAGGGCAGTTCCATTTTTAACTCCATACTGTTCTCCACAGTGGCTGCACCAGTCAGCACTCCCACCAACAATGCAGGAGGGTTCCCTTTTCTCCACATCCTCTCCACCACTTGTTGTTTGTGGATTTATTGATGATAGCCATTCTGACAGGTGTGAGGTGATATCTCATTGTGTTTTTAATTTGCATTTCTCTGATGCTTAGTGATGTTTAGCATCTTTTCGTATGTCTATTAGCCATCTGTATGTCCTCTTTGGAGAAGTGTCATTTCAGGTCCTTTGCCCATTTTTCAATTGTATCGTGGTTTGGTTTTTTTTTTTTGGTGTTGAGGGTTATAAGTTCTTTATAAATTTTGGATATTAGCCCCTTATCAGATGTATCATTGATGAATATATTCTCCCATTCAGAGGGTTGTCTTTTCATTTTGTTGATGGCTTCCTTTGCTGTGCAAAAACTTGATTATTTTTTCTTTTGTTTCCCACTTGTTTATTTTTACTTTTGTTTCCCTTGCCCGAAGATATATATCAGAAAAAAACATTGCTATGAGAAATCTTTGAGATTTTACTGCCTATGTTTTCTTCTAGGATTTTTATGGTTTCGAGTTTTAACTTTTAAGTCTTTAATCCATTTTGAGTTTATTCTTGGGTTTTGTATAAGAAGGTGGTGTAGTTTCATTGTTTTGCATGTATCTGTCCCAGCACCATTTATTAAATAGATTATCTTTACCCCATTGTATGTTTTCCCCTTCTTCGTCAAATAGTAATTCACTATAAAGGCGTGGGTTTATTTCTGGGCTCTCTATATGTCGTTTTCATGCCAGTACCAGGCTGTTTTGATTGCTCTGGCCTAGTAGTATAGTTTGATATCAGGTAGCGTGATTCCTCCCACTTTGTTCTTCTTTCTCAAGATAGCTGTGGCTGTTTGGGGTCTTTTGTGGTTACATATAAATTTTTGGAATATTTGTTCTAGTTCTGAGAAATATGCCACTGGTTTCTTGATGGGAATTATATTGAATGTATAGATTGCTTTGGGTAGTATGGACATTTTAATTATTTAATTCTTCCTATCCATGAACACAGTATATGCTTCCACTTATTTGTATCTTTTTCCATTATTTTCTTCAGTGTCTTATAATTTTCTGAAGAAAGGTCTTTTACATTCTTGGCTAAATTTATTCCTATGTATTCTTTTTAAAGCAATTGTGATGGGTTTTTTTTTTATATACCTTTCTGGTATAAAAATGCACTGATTTCTGGATATTTATTTTGTATCCTGCTACTTTACTGAATTCATTGATCAGTTCTGTAGTTTTTTGATGGGAATCATTAGGATTCTCTATATACAATATCATGTTATCTGCACATAATGACAGTTTTGCTTCTTCCTTTCCTTTTTGGAAGCCTTTTATTTCTTCTTCTTGTCTGGTTGTTGTGGTTTTAATTCTTCTTCTTGTATGATCAATATGGCCAGGACTTACAGAATCATGTTGAATAAGAGTGGTGAAAGAGAGCATCCCTGTTTTGTTCCTGTCCTTAGGGGCAATGGTTTGTTGTTTTTGCCCACTGAATATAATGTTGGATGTGGATTTGTCATATATGGCCTTTATTACATTGAGGTATGTTCCCTCTATTTCCCCTTTTCTGAGAGTTTTTATCATAAATGAGTGTTGATTTTATTAAGTGCTTTTTCTGCGTCTATTGGTATGATCATGTGGTTTTTATCCTTCATTTTGTTTATGTGGTATATCATGTTTACTGATTTTCAGATAGTGTACCAACTTTGTATCCCACCGTAAATCCCACTCGATCATGGTGTATGCTCTTTTTTAATGTATTGCTGGATCTGGTTTGCTAACATTTTGTTTAGGACTTTTGCATCTATGCTCACTAGAGATATTGGCTTATCATTTTCTTTCTTTGTAGTGTCTTTGTCTAGTTTGGAATTTGGATAATCCTGGCCTTATAAAATGAGTTTGGGAGTCTTCTCTCATCTTGAATTTTTTGGAATAATAGGCGTTAGTTTCTCTTTGAATGTTTGGTAAAATTCACCTGTGAAGCCATCTGGCCCAGGACTTTTGTTCATTGGGAGGTTTTTTTGTTTGTTTGTTTTATATTGCTTCATTTTGACTAGTTTTAATCTGTCTATGCAGATTCTCTGATTTTTTCCTGATTCAGTTTTGGAAGATCGTATGTTTCTAGGAATTTAT